TGAGTGGATGAATAAAATGTATTTTATGAACGATTGAAAATTTGAACAAGATATATATAGGGAGAGTGTGAACTAATAGAAGGAATTGAAAAAATTAAAATCGTAGCACATTGATTGAAAGACCTGGATACAAAAACAAATTTATAAATATGGAATAATTTAAACGAAACTTTTTATAACCTTCGATCCGAAATCAAACATATGCAATATGTCAAAATCTCTACAAAATCCATCAACTTGTCTTCACCATTAAAATGTAAATCGCATATGCATCTAGAAAACGAGACATCGTCTGCCGTATCAAAATAAATACTTCACGTTTGAAGTGAAGTGAAATAAAGGAAATAGTTTCTTTCTCATTTTACTACAAATGTAAGAAATCCATACCATTTCTTTGTAGGAATAAAATGTCTCGTGCATGATTCCGCATTGAAATTTCGAAAGTAAAAAAAAAAAAGGTTTTTCGATTTAAAATATTCCTTGCATAGCAAAATCAGTTTATTTCAAGAGGGTAGATATCACGGAAGAAAATATTGTATTCTTATTTTGCTATGTGCCTGCATTCGCAACAAAAAATTTTTTAATACAGAAATATACACTGAGATGGAACAGAAAAAATTTCATGATTTAAAATAATAAAAAAAAAAATCACAGTTTCAATTTTGCAATTCTTTTTATATTTTTATGTGTTAAAAATATATGTATTTTCTGATATTATAAATTTATTTGAATTTTCACACAACGTAAATATTTATTTTGTCAGAGTCAATTATTAACATGTTAACTAAAATAAAATTTGAAAAGATTTTAAAATAAGGCAGTATGGAAACTATTGTTCATAATAATAATATAATCATTATTTAATAATTTATTATGAATTTGATTTTAATTATTATTATTAATGTAATAATAATTTTTAACAGTTAAGCGTGTATGTTAAATTAAGACTAAGATTTATAATGATTTTTTCGATTTTTCTTAACTGCAAAATTTTGTTTATTTTACAAGAAATTGATATATGAGAAAATGTCGATTGGTTAAAATAAAGTAGACAAAAAATTTCAACAGTGGTTCCCTCTAAAAATATACCATGATCATCTACAACTACCTCCTTGGTACTACAGTCTATGTTAGATCATGCCGGCTTCTGAAACAGGAGATGTTTTCATTTTGCGGAGGACTGTCAGTCTTGCGACCAACGCTCTGCAGTCATATTAGATCACGACCTACGGTTTAAAGTGGATTCCAAACCATTACAAACATCCATGGCACCTCCGGGGCTGGAACCCGAGGGAAAGAGTTTTTATCTCTAAGTACTTTAAATATAGCTCAAATAGCGTATTTAGACCCTATACAGGATGTTCCTACAATACCAAATGACGTCCGGTTGCGTTTCCGTCAGAATCTCTAGATCATACTGCTTTGGGTTTTTTTTCCTATGGGGATATATGAAGGAATTGTTATATCAAACTCTAATTACTACAGAGCGGAATGATTCCCAATTGGCTATTGCTCTGGCCTTTGGTACCACAGGCTTCAGGTTCGAATGATGGCGGTGGCATGGATGTTTGTGAATTGTTCGGAATCCACGTTAAACTATAGATCCCGGTCTGATTAGCTTAAAGTGTGCAAAAAATGACCATAGAGTGGCAAGCCAAACAAATTAGTATACAACAAGACTTAGTTCAGAACATTCAATTTTGAATCACTTGGATAGGACAGTTAGCTGTACTACTGCCATTCTTTTGATACTCTTATTATTACAGATCTATAAGTAACACCTACTTCTTGGTGAATTTCTGCAGCGTTACAGCCTTTTGCGTAAAAAAAACGTAAACATAGCTGTGTGCAATATTTCATGGGACTGTGTGTTATAGCGATCATTATAGTTGAATTACAGAAAGCTGACAACATTAAACGACGCATGAGAGTGTACTTTGTGCACAAATGGAGTCCATTACTGCTCAAACGCAATTGGATTGTGTTGCCGCTCAGAATTAATGAAGAATCAGTCCATTTTCTGAAATGCACCTCGTAAACTAACATTATTATGCACTTCGTGCATTTAAACATAATAGTTTTTTTAAGCGAGATATACTAAATAAAGTTAATTCATTTTTATTTTTAGTTATTTATTTTAAAGGGTGTAAAGAATACAAGAGTATAAAGAATTTTAGCCTGTACTAAAGCTACGGTATAAATATATTTTAAGAATAAACGTTTTTTTTTTTTTTTTTTTAATTTTGCTGTGCAAAAAAAAAAAAAAAAAAAAAAAAAAAAAAAAAAAAAAAAAAAAAATGATAATAATAATTAATGTAATTTACCCTTCTTCTCGTAGAAAAAGGTCACTTTAAAAAAATTGTTTTTTGATTTGTTATTTTTAAAAGAGCAAAATATTTTTTTTGTTCTAATGCAGCTGACAAACACTTGTCTTGGATGCCTTAAGGCAAGAGCTGCACAGACGTTACTCGCTTAGCATTACCCAGGAGGTGAGGTAGCTTGAAGATAAGCTACGGACGCGGAGTAACAATACCCCCGCAAAGCTCTAAGATAATGTTAGATCGCGACGTACGATTTAAAGTGATGATGATGAAATGAAAAGAAAATCTTACAAGAAATAATTTGCTTTTATTCTTTATATGATTACCCATGTATATTTTAGGGTAAATTAAAATTTAAAAATCTAGCCATCTAATACGACTTGCTTTTAAAACTTTTATAAAATCAGGTTCTTTGAATTCGTTGTAAATTTCTTGGTTATATTGTATTATGTAGACATCGTTTTGCCTAACTGCACCAAACATTTTTCAGGTGTTCTTATCTACTATTTATTAATTTAATTAGAACATCTTTATCATCAAAGATCGTGTAAATATACTGCATTATAAATTCACAAAATTAATCATAATTTCTCCGTTAGAAAATGGTTACACTCATATTCCTCAAAATTCTTATTTTAAATAATTCTACTATTCTTTTTTCCATCATAAAACATTGTAAAGAAATTTATAAAATAAGCAATGAATCACAATACATATCAAAATCTCAAGAAATGGTGTGAGTTTTCATCCGAAAAATAAATGCAAATTGAAAATTATCAGTTAGAAATCTTAAAAAAAAAATAGAACAACTAGAATGCAATGGAGTATGTGCAAGTCCAAAAACTGTTTAAGGAATAATTCGATCAGCCATCCATCATAACTAAGTGGGAAGAAAGAAATTCTTTCTTTTTAGAAAACAAAGAATCGAAGAATTCGAATTTCATTTAATAAGAACATAAAAAAAAATCTTATATTCTATTTGCGTATGAAAGCAAGTTTAATATATTCGGAACTAAAGGTGCATAATGATCTGGAGAAAATAGAAGAATTTCAAAAAAGAGATTACCTAAATTTCGTAAACAGGGCTAAAGAGGAGGGGAAAAAGGGGGAAGGGAAGGAGAACCCCCCGAAAAATCGATTACATTATCCAATTAAATTAAAAAAAACTATAATAAAAAGACGATATTATTCAAATAAAAAATAAAGTTTTAGATTACATTGTTTTTCTCTGCAGATAAGTTCTGATAAATTTGGTTTACTTCCCAGATGCTATTAAACACCATATAATTGTTTCATATACTTTTGTTTCCTTTTATTTCTATAGTATTTAGTTTTCACTATTCATTTTATAATTTTTTAGATTAGATTATACACGTTTTAAAAGTGAATTTACCCCGTGTGTGGTTCAGGTTAGAATAGTCCGACTGTAGCCCATGCATAGTTGTAGAAGTGATTAAGTTGATACGTATTAGATAAATCAGTATTTTGGCGTATATTCTAATTGAATTGATATATGGTATATAAGAACACACAAAAAAAAATTTCATGCTGTTAGGAAAAACGTTCTCTACAGAATACAATATAACCAAGAAATTTACAACAAATTCAAAGAACCTGATATTTTAAAACGGGTACTCAAGTGTCCGGGGTAGAATAGGGAGGGGTAAAGTCAGACTTCTTCCTTTGGGTGCCCTACGTGCCGCAAGATCAAGGACAAAAATAAACTGCATTTTTTACCCTTTATCATGGCTCGGCACGGGTTCATGGACTTGGACTAGATGCTGCTGTTGACCAAGTGGGATAAGAAATAATAACAAAAGCGAATTTTCATGTTCAAAAAATATATTTTTTACATACACCAAAAATACTTACACATATATTTTGATGCAGTAAAAGAAATACATTAATTATTCTTTTTCATGTTTTCCATCTAAAATACTTTTTTGCTCTACTTATGATATTTGTTAAATTAAAACTCTTAGTGTATCCTTTTTTGTGTGCTTATACCTTGTTATTGTTCAATTTCTGCATTTTCAAGTTTTACATAGTGTTTTAGAATGAAACAGGCTTAAAAACAAATGTTTTATGATTTCCATGCAATAAATGAACTTAAAAATATAAAATATTTACTGAAATTCCTCCTTCAAAATTTGTAATTGTTCATATTAAAGAATTTATACAAGTTTTGATGTATATATATCAGCGATACCGCACTCTAGAGTTGAGTGTAATATTCATAGGGTGGAGCATAAGATGCATGCGTAACAAAAATAAGATAGACGCAAAAACATAAAGAAGGAAAAATTAGAAAAAAATAGATACCTAAAAAATTCGACCAGGATTATGGGAGTACTATGGTAGTATGTATATATGTTGTTGTTTCTTATCCCACTTGGCTGGCCAAGCCCACGAGCCCATATGGACTCATGATTGAAGGGGAAGGAAGCAGCTTCTGTTGTGATGGAGCACCCGTAGGTAGAAGCCTGACTTTTGCTCCGTGACGCTCTTACAGTCATGGAGAAGACCGGGACCTACGGCTTAAATGGATTCCAAACCACTACAAACATCCATGGCACCGCCGGGTTTCGAACATTCTGGACGAAACCTGTGGCACCGAGCGCCAGAGCGCTAGAGAGGTAATGTTCGGCCATTCAGGTCCCAAATTTGCCAACATGGCTCACGCAGTGTTCCCGAGGTGGTCACCCACCCGAGTTGTTGCACTTGACCGCGCCCAATGATGCTTAACTTCGGTGATCTAACGAGAACCGGTATATTCAGCATGGTACGGCCGTAACAAGCTACGATATGTACGTATCTAAAAAAAGTAGTACTATGGATTATAGTAGATTATGGTAGTATTATAGTAGTAGAATTATAGTAGTAGATTATGGTTATACTGAAATTTTATATTAAAAAAAAAATAAAAACGACACCAAATAGCAAATTACACTGATGACAAAAATAGAGTTGGGGATTAATTAATTCTTGATACCAGTGCACCGGGTTAATAATCCTTCTCGTTAAAATAATTTTAAATATCCTTTCTAATTTTAAATTTTGTATTATCCTTCGTTACCTCCTTTTTATGTGTATAATGAGAATGTTATAATAGTTGTTGGATTTTCTGCTTGATTCGGCACAAAGCCATCAATACCAAACCGAAAGCTTCTGTGTCTGCGCCAAGAATATCTATAAGCTAAAATGCCCTTCCTCTGGGATTGAAGAGGAAGGGAGGTATGTAGGAAGTTCCACCCTCAAGATTACACCTCTAAGATGTTCGTTCACAATTGCGGTTGCGCAATGTCGGTGCAGTACAATACCCTAATAAAAGTTCTTCAAATATAGAAAATTTTCTCTATTATAGAAAAAAAATGGAACATGGCATCGAATATTACTAAAAAAACGATTAAAAAATGTTCTTCAGGCTCATGGATATCCAATCAATGTTAAATATTAGTTATGAACAGAACAAACATTTTTGTAGAGCTGTATTGTTTTTATGCAAAATCTTTTATGAATAATATTTATTCATTCATTCTATATCACTGCTTTTAAAATGAATTTATTTAGAATATTTGAATAAATTTAAAGAAAATTTGAATAAAATTAAAAAAAAATTGTTCTTGCTAAATTGTTTCAAAGTAATGAATTTTCATTATTTAGTTTAAAAACGTTTTTTCAGTTAATAATTTTTATAAAATGGACGTCTATCCGAAAACTTTTGCGAGACACTGAATTATCGATTTTTTTCCCTGTGAGTTTCATATAAAAATAATGAAACAAGTCCTTGAGCTAGATAATATATCAAATTCTCTTTTATTATTAAGCAAAATTTTTGCATTTAAGAAAAATGTCAATGCAGGCAGGGAGACGAAAAAAGATTTTTATACAATAAAAAACAAAATAAAACTTAAGTTTGTCATGAAAAACGGTCATTACTTATCTATTAATATTTTTGTTTTATATTTAATGTGCATTACTTCAAAAGGCATTGAAAAAATATTTATTGACAGTCATTGAAACAATATTTATTGAAAAGCATTGAAACAATATTTATTGAAAAGCATTGAAACAGTATTTATTGAAAGTCATTGAAATTATAACAGTACTTTCAATGAGTACTGTTGTATAAGTATTGTTTCAACTATTCAATTAGCACTGTTGTATAAGTATTGGTTCAACGATTCAATTAGCACTGTTGTATAAGTATTGTTTCAACGATTCAATTAGCACTGTTGTATAAGTATTGTTTCAAAGATTGTATAAGTATTGTTTCAAAGTTTCAATAAGTATTGTTCAATAAGCACAATATTGTTCAATAAGTTAGTTCTATAAGTATTGTTTCAACGATTTAAAATAAATATTGTTTTTAAGGCTTTCAATAATATTTATTGAAAATCATTGAAACAATAGTTATTGAAAGTCATTGAATAATACTTATTGAAAGTCACTGAAATAATATATATAGTCATTAAAATAATACTTATTGAAAGTCACTGAAATAATATATATAGTCATTAAAATAATACTTATTGAAAGTCACTGAAATAATATATATAGTCATTAAAATAATACTTATTGAAAGTCACTGAAATAATATATATAGTCATTAAAATAATAATTATTGAAAGTCACTGAAATAATATATATAGTCATTAAAATAATACTTATTGAAAGTCACTGAAATAATATATATAGTCATTAAAATAATACTTATTGAAAGTCACTGAAATAATATATATAGTCATTAAAATAATACTTATTGAAAGTCACTGAAATAATATATATAGTCATTAAAATAATACTTATTGAAAGTCATTGAAATAATATATATAGTCATTAAAATAATACTTATTGAAAGTCACTGAAATAATATATATAGTCATTAAAATAATACTTATTGAAGTCACTGAAATAATATATATAGTCATTAAAATAATACTTATTGAAAGTCACTGAAATAATATATATAGTCATTAAAATAATACTTATTGAAAGTCACTGAAATAATATATATAGTCATTAAAATAATACTTATTGAAAGTCACTGAAATAATATATATAGTCATTAAAATAATACTTATTGAAAGTCATTGAAATAATATTCAATAATTAATAAATATATTTGCTCTATAATTTCAAATGACATATTTCATGAATCATTCAATCACAAGCAGGTTTTCGGAAGCCATTTAACTAGGTTTGTATAGAGCAACCATTACAGGTGTGTGTCTGAAAGAAGAAATTTCATTTGGAAGGAACAAACAAAAAATGCGTCACAATCGAAATATAATACAATTACGAATAAAAATTTTTTGGAATGAATTTTTTTAAAGAATTTGCAGTTTTAGCGCGACGTTACATATTTTGAAAATTATTGGTGAGACAAAAAAATTTGGCATTTAGGAATTTGAAAGGATTTGAGACACTTTAATAATAACATGAGCAATTGTAATTTGTCTTTTTAATATGAAAGTAAAATAATTGAGATTTTTTTTCCATTTCACTGGGTTATTTTTGGTATATTAATATATTTTCTTTTTATTAGGGATGCTCAAGTTTAAATCCACTTAAGGCGTTCGTTAAGTCATTGTTTGCAGAAATTAGGATACTTGATGGCGATTTATACAGTGTGTATACGCATCTCATATTAATATTCAATCTTCCGGGTGGAATTTCCCTCGTGAACTTTTTTGTATAACAGCAATTGTGTGTGTATGTGTGTGGGGGGAGGGGGTTACGGCCCAGGTGACTAGCATTCTGGCGCTCGGTACGACAGGTTTCCGGTTCGAATTCTGGCGGTGCTATGGATGCTTGTAGTGGTTTGGAATCCAATTTAAGCCGCAGGTCCCGGTCTCACATGACTGTAGAGCGTCACACAGCCCAATCAGACTTCTCACCCACATCATTCCCAAACTGTAAAGGGGCCACTCAGCTCTAGGCACAGTGATGTGGGGGCAGTTACCAATGAAAGTCCTCTCAAAAGCAATGGCATCCCTATATCAGCCATCAAAAGGGCTAATAAGGGTATACATAAATGGAACACGTGGCCGACGACATACAGAAAAAAATGCTGTCACCTGCAGCTAGGAGGAGGCAAGATATAATCCGCTGGTGGCATGTGTTGTAATCACAGGTTTCAGAAATAATGAGACTGGATAGCGAATATAACTGCGCATATGAATCAGTACATATTAACAACTAGATTGGCTGCACATATAACTGCGCATATGAATCAATGTATATTGACAACTAGGTTGGCCGCAAATATAACTGCGCATAAGAATCAGTACATGAGGACAACTAGGTTGGTTGCCTGCATACTAGATGGTGATTGTGACTGCATGTATCAACAACCGAGAGTTTTGCTAGTTTTCTGCATGAAAATGCCTCCCATTTATATCTGAAAGTTCTTCCAGAATACAATGTCATCTCTTCATCCACCTATCAGTGGACGTTCGTGTCAAACATTAGTAGAATACGAGACTCAATACGTATACAATAAATCATCATCATCATCATTGGTGCAACAGTTTAATTGTAGGCCAAGGCCGTCTGCCTACTGACAGATGAGTTTTTTTTACGGAGTAGGATTATCAGCTCTACATCCAACGCTCTACAGCCGTATTAGACCGAGGGGACTGATGACCGAGTGGCTAGCGCTCTAGCTCTCGGTACCCCAGATATCAGATTCGAATCCCGGCGGTGCCGTGGATGTTTGTAGTGATTCTGAATTCACTTTAAGCCGTAGGTCCCAGTCTCATATACCGCAGAGCGTCCCATAGTCCAATCAGACTTCTTCTCACCCATATCATTCTCAAACTGTAAAGGGGCAACTCAACTCTAGGCACAGTGATGTGGTGTGGTGTAGTAGTAATAGTAGTATCCATATTGAACCGTAGGTCCCGGTCTGATTAGCCTCACGTGTGCAAAAAAATGACCGTAGAGCGACCAAACCAAATCTGTGTGTAATGGGACATATTTGTAGTAATAGTAGTAGCCATATTAGACCGGGACCTACGGTTTAAAATAGATTCCAAACTTCTACACACGCCCATAGCACCACCGGGACTCGAACCCTAAACCTGTGATATCGAGTGGTATCACTGGGCTATCAGGCCCAACACAATAAATAAATAAATAAATGTGTCTTGCATAGTTTTATTGTTTATTTAAAGTTTAATTTAATATAAATATACTGACTACATATTAAGTTTCTGAACTTCCTTTTAATAAATATTATTTCCCATTTACATAAAGCAATGTAAAGTGAATAATTCTTCATTTTTCAGAATGTGGAGTTAAGATCTTCACATACTTTTAAAAATACGAATTTTCAGATGGAAAATGTTCACAAGAGTAGTTATGTGTACTCCAAATTTCTCTTAAGTTTCACCATTTAAAAGGAGTAAAGAGAAAAATAACTAATGACTTTAATTAAGACGCGCTTAAAATTTTAGCAAAGCATTAAGAATCTTAAATGAAGTTTGCATAAAAGAATTTCAGTTTCGAAAAAATTAAAAAAGAACGAATTTTGTGTTTAGAATTCTGTGGAATAAATTTTAAATGGGATGAAGCAATCCTTTATGGTATTTTAAAATGGCGGGCACATTAACTAATTTATGGCAGATGCACCATTACATACAGCCCTACGATATAAAAAGAAGGATTATTTTATATTTAATATATTATTCTTACACTAAAACATTTAAAAATTTTTTAAGTGTAATAATTTATGAAAAATGTATTTAAATATTTTATACAGTTATTTATAATTAAATGATGTTGTAAATT